ACATTATGACTACCATCTTTATTATGACATTAACAAATTTCCTATAATTTCAAAGTAATTCGGTATCGAAGTTGTGTGCAAAATAATTGGAGTACTTTGTGATATTCATATCCCATTATTAATTTTAAGTAATTTTAATTTTTAAATTAACTAGATTTGATCGTAACAAAGAATTGGTGTACTGATGAAGATATCTGATTATATTCATTCAAAGATTGGTCTGGAGTTGATTTGATATGGAGAAGACGTTTAAATCAAAAATATTATCTTTCATCCATCTACAAATTATATTTTCTGACTTGGATGATCTCAAACAGTCACAATACTTGATACCTGTCAGAGTTGGATATCAGAGATAATATTTTTGATTCTGAACATGTATTACACTTCAATTGACTTGAATGGAAGGTGTTCAAACTTGAACGCATTTGTTTTTAGAACGCGTAAAGGGTGTTCATTATCCGTTACAGTCATCGGACGCGTAAAGTGTGTTCTTATATGAACATTTTGGACGCCTAAAGTGTGTTCAGAAGTGAATATCCAGGCGTTACGATATGAATATCAAGCGTTCATGTGAAAATGGGACGCGTCAATGGTGTTCAAAATCCGTTACAGTTTAAGCGTTCTAGAATGGCGTCCAAGGTGTTCTTATATGGCGTCCTTAGTGTTCATTTGGTTTACAGTGTAGTGCTGGGATCTCAAAGGTTTGAGATGCTAGCACTCAATCAGAATGTGTTTCACTGTGACAGACTGGTTGTTGCGTGGTTGGAAAAAAAATGGATATATGTAGTATTTATTTTCTGGTGCATACGTAAGTAGTTGAGTCTTATCCGATTTGACGCATGGAGAATGCTGCACATGCGCAGAAGTGAAATGCGTCAAATCGGAAAAAAGGATATTTTGAACTTTCAAGCTCCTTTCCAAAGAGATTATGAGGAACCGAACACGTGATTCAGTTGGCCACACTGTTCAATGGCTAAAGTTGAAATGGATGCGTTACCAAAAGGAAACCCCAGACATGATTCAGTCTAAGTACGATTATGACGATGCTTTTAGTCATCTCAGGGTGACTCAAGCCACCCAAGCGCCCTGGCGTACCTGATGTTTCTCTGCAACTCCCTTGCCATTCCATTAAAATTAATTGTTCATGTGTATTTGAAATAAAAACTTGAAATTAACATTGGTCGTAAGTTTAGATTTTCAATCCATTCTGAAAAGGTAAGAAGTATGAAAAGGTCATAAGTGAAATTTACGACCTTGTGTTGCTCAAGGGACGATATATTGTGTATGTTGTGATTTATGATCTTTACCAACTCTTCTATCTCATGTTAACTGTACTTTGCTCTCGCATATCAGTTTGGGATTAACTTAGTACATTTATAATTATAATATATTAGAATCACCTCTAATTAGCTACCATTATACACTTTTCGGCCAATAGTCATTTTCCAAATGATTCTGTAAGAAAACAGCCATTTTCTTATCATTCGTTTTGTAGTGTGAAACAAAGTTCACACATATTTGTTCTCCACGGACCCTTCACATAACTCTGTTTACACCTGTTAATTGGCCATGGTATTGTATTCGAGTTCAAGTGCTTTGATGTCCGAACATTATTTGATCAGGTGACAGGTGGATGACCGCTGACCTGAAGCTCACCTAAAAACATGTATTGTGTCCCCAAATGACCACTCCTGTCCAGCCTACTTCAAGGGACTGAAAATAGGGTAATCCAAATAGCCATTACAATACCTATTAAAATATATTTAATTATGGTTCTGGGGTCTGTGGGAACAGTAAACAATATTAATATTTCTTATCATATTCTTTTATTCTATTATTATTTTGTATTGTATTTCTTTGTATGGGTTTGGCTATATTAGACGGTGACGAGAAGACTTTAGTCAGTACGTTCGAGGATACCGAGCTGCTCGTAGACGTCTGATATTGCCAACCGCCATACAGCTATATTAGATTGGAATAAACAAGTTTAAGTATCACAAGTACTTTACTTTATCGGAAACAACACAACGTGAAACCTAGACGAAGTCTT